AACTTTCTGGAACGGTTGTTCAAATCATTCGTCAAGTGGGCAAGGTGCGGCTGATTCAAACAAACTTGTCGAGGAACCTACTACCGATTTGATCACCAGGAAATAGTTGGGGGCTTAGAGCTAGAAGAAACATACTCAAGCACTAAGATCATGGAAGTAATTACGCTATGGACCGAGCTGCACCTTGAATATTTGATAAGCAAAGAACAACCCGAGGAACATACGGAGACATGGCGCATCTTTTGACGATTTGTCTCTTATACCATCTCTGAAGGAGAACTCTACAAACATAGAGTTATCGGCATACTATAACGCTGCATTTCTGAAGAGGAAGGGCAACAGGTCTTATAAAAAGTTCACTCCGGCATGTGTGGGCACCATGCAACACCTCAGACCTTGGTAAGCAAGGAATTCGGAGTAAGCTTTTACTGGCCCACAACAGGGCCGAAGCACGAGACTTGGTCGACAAGTCTGCCGGATGCCAGCTCTTCGCTAAAAGGAGCCACTTGCCAGCCATAGACCTAATAATAATCCCAATCACATGGCTGACTGCGGTCTGGGGGTTGGACATGGTCGGACAACTCCATAAAGGAAAAACCGGAAAAAGGTATCTTTTAGTTATGGTCGACAGGATCACCAAATGGATTGAGGCAAAACCTCAGCCTTGGAAAAAGCTAAATCTGCGATTTACTTCATCTTGGGTGTTGTACACTGTTATGGGATGCCTCACAGCATCATAACAGACAAGGGATCAAACTTCACAGCTGAAGAGGCAAAATCATGGTGTATTAAGCACAATATCAAACTTGATTACGCCTCCATCTACCACCCACAAACGGGCAAGTAGAGCGAGCCAATGGATTGATCATAAGTGGTATAAAACCATACTTGGTCCGATCTCTGGCAGAAGCTGATAACAAATGTGTTGAGGAGCTTAACTCGTGTTATGGAGTTTGCATACAACGCCGAACATACCCACTGGCTACGCACCATTCTTTATGGTGTATGGTCCTGAAGCCATTTTGGCCGGTGACCTCATTCACGACTCACCTCGGGCACGCTTGTATGAGGAAAAGGAGGCCAAACAAAGGCGACTGGACGATCTAGACGCCATGGATGAAGAATGAGACGTGGCTAAAGCACGATGCGGCTTGTCTAAGTAGCAGTTACGGTGCTACCAGCAGCACGAGGTCCGAAAAAAGGCCTTCAACGTTGGGGATATAGTGTTACGACTTCACCCTGACAAGAACGGTAAGCACAAATTATCGGCCATTTGATTGTCTCGTGATTCGCAAAATTTTTGGATCACGCACCAGATCACAACAGGTTTTAAGTTTTAGTTTCTGCAACTTATGATTTTGTCGGTCGCTCGTACCAAGTTTGAAAAGTTGAAACTGAAGGAAGTTTTAAAAACTCATCAAAATATATTCAAAATGGATCTCATTTGAAAGCCCCTCGTCACCGAAAACATAAATATTTAAAAACAAAACTTAATTTGGAATTTTGGTATGAAAGATATGAAAGATTGAAAATCGAAAGCCCAAAGAAAAACTGGGCTGCGTGCCCCCGCTCTTGCGTACATTCTACAAAGCACCTCCCTAGGAAAGAATACAGCTTCATATATATGCTTGATAAATAAATAGATCCTGATTTGTGAAGTTAATATTGAAGATGACACTAGGATCTAGTAATGATGACGTCCATTGGAGAATGTGGAGGAAGTGAGAACTACAATTGCAGATCTATTCCCAGAAGAAGAATTCCCACGAAGTCACACAGGGGTCAGGGAACCAGGATTACCACTTCAAGGCCTACAACTACATCCTCCAAACTACTATGTTCGCCAAAAAAAATTGCTAGTAGGCGTCCCAGTGTCAAAAGAAGAGCGGTATAAAGCCATAGTAGTAATGCAATCACATTGTTGGTTGTCACTTGTAGAATAATCTTTACTTTCTGGTTATTTCATCCTTCTGTCCACTTAGGATAATCAGAGAGAGGCTTGCATTGATTCATGGACAATGTACAAGTGATTTAAAATGTCTTCTATTTGTTATTGTTATTTTGTCAGAAGAATTGATAATGAAAATTTTATTGATTTCGTCGTCACATCGAGTGATACAACTATGGCTCACTCTGGCATCTGCATTCGAAAATAGACTAAAAATCTATGAAGTGCCTACCCGATGATTAGATCCTCATTCCCATTCATGCTAGATGAAGAGATCCATACTATTTGCTCAAGGCCAAGGCACACCCATTCGTCATATCCCACTCCTCTTTTCTCTTCTATTCATTGTTTGCTTGTGTTCATGGTCTTTGTAAATTGTTCTCCCTGGAACTAGGATAGTAGACCTCGTCCATGCACAATGCACGCACCAGACATGCCTTGGAAACCTGCACGCATGACATGCGTCATGAACAGATATGTGTGCGCCGTGCCTGGGCCATGCACATACACACGCACACACCAACTGGCCCATGGTACAGGTCACACGCACGAGCGCACATGCCTCACAAACGCGCACTCCCGACCATGGCCGTGCACACGCGCAGGCAGACGGCCAGGGCCCCGGAGCGGAGTGGCAGAGTGGAGGGACTCCGAACATCGCTCTATCCTAAAAAAAAACTATGAAGGGTTTGAAAGCATATGGAGGAAACGAACACAAAAACACCATGATAAAAGATAGAAAATCCTAGATCTATTCGAAATATAAACAATGAAGGGTTTGAAAGCATATAGAGGAACTAAATCCATCTAAAAACTATGATAAAAAAGAACTGAAAATCTTAGATCTATTCTGAAAATGAAGCGGTGAAGGGTTTAAAAGAATTTGCAGGAACTGGATGCACCCAAAAACAACAGGACAAAAGATAGAAAATCCTGGATCTATTCCGAAAGCAAACAATGGAGATTTTGACAAATATCTGTAAGAACTAAATGCACCTAGAAACCACCACGATAAAGGACTGAAAATCCTAGATCTGTTTGTGAAAATGAATGATGGAATGTCTACAATCATCTGCGTAGGAACCAAAGTCAACCAGAAACACCACAATAAGATTGTAGAAAAATCCTAGATCTAATATGAAAACGAATTAAATGCCAATCTTCTGTGTGACAACGAACGAAGTGCACATCTGTTGCGTTAAGCAACACATCTCTGAAAATTCTATCGGAAAATCCATTCTTCAAATGGATGAACTCGATACAAAAAGTTGGGATGATATTGGATCTGAAAATAATTCGTATCAATATTATGGACAAACTCAGGAGCAAGACTGCAGAAAAGCTGGCAGAGGATAGGACGTAAAATAACAGAGCACAAACCCAATAATCAAGCATTTCCTTTTTAATTAAAATAGTCAGCCTGGTGGCGTACAGTGTGAAACCAGATCCAGCAAGATTACGTGCATGCAAACGGGCCAAAGTTGCAACCTATCTTTTCTTTTCCCCCTCGAATCAACACCATCATCGACGGTTAGGTGTATAGGTACGCATTACTACGCCGCGTTCGTTGCTTCTCACGTTGTGATGTGATGGATTGTGGTGGAGGCCAGATGGCATGTCTGGGTGTCTATATAAAAGCCAGCCGGTTGGAACAAAATGGCAAGTACTGATACGGATTAGAATTTTGGGATGGAAACAGACAAGGACTTTTGGCGCTGAGCCAAAATGAAACATTGCCGATTTAAAGGGAACTCTTATTTCAGAAAGAGGTAATGACAGGCCAATCAAACAAGAAAGTAGAACGCGTGGAAACAAGCTGTGAATTACCAATAAACACATTTCTACCCTAAAGAGGTTACTTTCTCCATAGCCATAAAACCTTCAAAGTCATATGCTTTGCTTTCTCTACACTCCAATCATATGCTTTGAAATCAATATCTTTAAAAAATAATACATTTGTACTATGGTGCAACCAAATAACTTCTACTATAGATATTACGTTCTCATCGTGTGGCCGACCGGACGACCAGTTTGATGGAAAGACCCGGGAGAGATCTATCTCCTCGATGGCATAGAGATTTAAAAAGAGTTGTCTCCCTTAGAAAATCATACACGTGCCAGCCCAAGGCATTGATACAAATCTCTCACATTTGTGCTACAAATACCACTGTTATATACTCCCTCCGTCCCACAATATAAGACGTCTTTGAAAGCTAACATAGCTTGCAAAGATGTCTTATACTGTGGGACGGAGGGAGCATTATTTATGCCCATTACACACGACATATATGTGCCAGATAAATGGTGACAAAAATATCACGAAATACATGAAATTCACACAACTTTAACTGAGTACAAAATAAAGTACAATAGCTGAACGGAACAACGAACAAGGAACAATACAATGACTAGTTATCTTAGCGGACATTCCAGTCCTCGGCGTTCCGCATGGATGGCACGAGTCAGATAGGGGGGCATCGCGCCCGAGCTTGATTGCTGGTAAGTTCTACACCTAGTGCAAGATCTTCATTCAAGCTGAAACGGCATAGGTCAGGAAAGTCTCCATTCCAACTCCTAATGCGTTCATGCATACTGAAAATGCATCCGTGCTTCATGAAGGGAAGGTCCTGGGCATCATGTACAGATGGTGGCATTTCAATCATCAGTGGATAATTCATGCCAATGAACAGAGAGTATGCTCCAAGATCATGCTTCCTTTCCCAGTGAGCCCCAGCAAGATTCCAGGCCATGCCATTCAGCTGGAACACAAGGCAGCGCATTGTTCCATATGAGCGCAGTCCTCGCTCCAGATATGGACTCTCGACCTCTTCCCCTGTTACGACCCCACGTGTGTGGACCAATAACATAGTTTGATTGTCATTTATGTCAGGTACAAGATTCCAAGAGAGAGGCGTGAGGTCCTGTCCATCGATGATAACAGGAGCCGGGATTTTCTGAGGAGCCAAGTTCAATCCTGCCCAAAAACCGTTCATCATATTAGTTGTCTGAATTGCAGTAGTTCCTAAAATGTGATCAATGTAGTTGAGCTTACCATACGAGAGCTGCCAAACGAAAACAGACCCCTCGTTTGTCAGTGCAAAGATCCGTCCGCCATGAAGAACATCATCTTCATACACAAAAGGGAACATGAGATCCGACCGTAATAGTTTCCACCCGTCGGAGGTGAAACCACCCCTGGCGATGGCAATTGAGATGTCGAACACCGCGATCACAGCGTAGTTGCTATAGCCGGCCTTCTTGGATGGTGCATCAGCGATAGCTATCTTCTTCAGTTTTTCCCTTGCTTGATCAAAGTGGAATTGCACGCTGTCTGGCAAGTCAACCAGATCAAACCCTATGCTGGAAATGGGCGGAAGTGGCACAGTGACAGTTGTGTACACATTGTGCAGTTCAATATGGCCAGCATCCCCGACATACGCTAGCCAGTCACCGTTAGCACCAACCCAGCGTTTGGCAGGAGTAGACATCAAGCGTGCATGCAGCGCCGGGGCATCCAGAGGCATGAGCGTACACCGCGTACCTTCCTGTGGCAGCCCGATCGGCCACGAGATATCATCCTCAAGCACGCATGGTAAATCAAGCGGCAAGTCAAGGGATATTCTAGGAACTGTCTCTAGAAGGACGGTGCAAGTACCAGACAGTCGAGCATGACTAAGCACGTCGATCCGAGATGTTATTATTTGCAGGATGTCCTCCTGCATGTTGGCCCATCTTTGCTGGTTGCCGTCCGTTGCGTCCAACTTTGCCTCGCGGGCCTGTAGCATGTTGGCATTCCGGCTAGGCGATGTGGGAAGAGGATTTGGCAAACATTAATAAGACATGTAAATTCTAAAGGAATTTTGTAATATTAAGGCGTGTCAATTAGAATGGAAAGGACAATGGATAACCAGAGATAAATTACTCATTTGAGATGGGTTTGACAAACATCTCCAAGAACCAAATGCACATACAAACACCTTCAATTCTCAATAAAAAAATACGTAGAAACATCATCAGAAATTGTATATGTGCTCTGGAAATGATCTTTAAGTGTCCATTTGTAGCGTTAAAGAACAGAATTCTTTTTTCAAATTTTCTGCAAAACTCTATTCTTCAAAGGCGTGAACTTCACAAAAAAGGTGGGATTATATTTGAGATAACACATGATATAATACATGGCAAACCCATAAAACATGTCGGAATCTGATGGCATACGGTATGAAAACAGAATCCCATTAAAAAATACAAACGAGAACGAGCGGTAATACATGTGATTGACATGTATTACTCCCTCCGTCCGAAAATACTGGACATCAAAATGGATAAAAGGAGATGTATCTAAAACTAAAATACGTCTAGATACATCCCCTTTTATTTATTTTGAAGACAAGTATTTCCGGACTGAGGGAGTATATCGTAAGAACAAAAGTAGACTACGAATGATTAACATGCAACGGGCAAGAGCTGCAGCATACCGTGGCCGGCCGCGTATGGAGTTCCTTCTCGACCGTCGAATCCTCGCCATCGTCAGGTGTATCGCGATACAGCCTGTAAGTACTAGCCTGCCGTTGTGGCTTCTCAAGCTGTGATTGACTGGTGGAGGCCGGAAGGAGGTGATGGTTTGTCAGCCAGGCCAAAAGGACGGCTTATATAAGCTAGCCAGTTGGAACAAAATGGCAAGTCTTGATACTATGGATAAGGATTCGAATTTTTGGATTTTGGTGGGAGGCATGTGAACGTGTTCGGGTCTGCGCCTCGAGTTTTATAGATGTAAACGTGGACGATATAACTTTATTTTCTTATGTATGTGAATGCGGTTGATTTAACCTTCTTGTTATATATGTGAACGTGGTTCATTTTACTTTCCATATATGGAAAATTTAGAGGGCAGACACAGACGTTCATACATATGCACATTTACTCACCCCTATAAACGCACGCATGCAAACCCTATCCTTATGAGCACCTCCGAGAGATTGAGGTGGCACATCATCTTGAGATTGACGAAGTCGCCACAGACGTCTACCTAGTCAACGGGAACGTCTCCTCCCACGGAACCCACATCACCAGAAGGTCTGAAATAAATTCAGAAGAATGCGAGCACCATTATAAAGTCTAGACCTGAACCCTCGTGGGCTGGGGATAGCACTGTGCTCCTAGCCATCCAACCAGATGTTGGCCAGTGGTTGGTTGATGAGCTTATAACTTGTTATCGAAAGATAATTAGTGACTCACTGGAGGGGGGAAAAAGTAGACACTAGAAAAATGCATAACATTATTATAACGCCATAGACATAAGAAAAATTCATCCTAGCTAATAAGAATGCATAGCTTTGGTCTTATATGACTTTGCTATTGTCGGTGTTTCTTTCATGTGTGCGTGAGTTGGTGTACGTTGTTTGCACACTAGTAGAAAACAGGGCTTTCGTTCGGGCCTGGCCAACCCATTAGTCCCGGTTCAGTCATGAACCGGGACCCATGGGGGAATACGTCCCAGTTCGTGAGCCCAGGGGGCCGGCCGGGGCCTCGTGGGCATTGGTCCCAGTTCGTATGGACCCATTTGTCTTGGTTCCAGGCACGAACAGGGACCAATGGTCCTCGCTCCTGGCCCACAACCATTGGTCCCGGTTCGTGGCTTGAACCGGGACTGAATGCTGGGCTTTAGTCCCGGTTTCTACCATGAACCGGGACAAATGAGTTGCCTATATATACCCCATCGCCACAGCAGAGCACTCCACACACTAGTAGAAAACGGAGCTTTAGCGCCGGTTCGTAAGGGCCTTTAGTGCCGGTTACATAACCGGCACTAATTTGTCGTCACTAAAGCCCCCCCCCCCTTTAGTACCGGTTCGGCACGAACCGGCGCTAAAGTGCCACCACGTGGCGTGAGCTCGCGCCCACGCCTCGTGTTACCAACCGGCACTAAAGGTTTTTTTTTTATTTTTTTTGAAAATTTTGGAAAAAAAATTTGATTTTTTTTCGATTTTTAATTTTTCTGAATTATTTGATGATTTAGTCTCTAATCACCTCTCTTAATTGCTCAAGTGTGGATCATTCATTCCAAATCAACTAACTTCCCGACCGGTCACCCATCCCTCTCACTACTCTAGCCCGAGCACGCTTAACTTTCGGGTTCTATTCTCCTTCATTTCCGAGTCTGCACTTGTTGTTTTCCTGACAATAGTAAGATGTTAATCCTATTAACCCTCAGGAGTTTAGCTTGAGCATGAAGTCACACATTTCACCATTTGAGTTTGAAACTATTATTCTAAAAAACAGTAATTATTTAGTAACGCTAATATTTCTTGAATAAGTTTGACCATAGCTTGACCACAGTTTGACCATAGTTTGACCAGATTTGACCAAAATTCAAAAAATTGAAATAATTATTTAGTAACACTAATATTCTTGAATAATTATGTAGTAACATTAATACTTCTTGAATAAGTAGTTTGACCAGATTTAACCAAATTTTTTTAAAAAAACTGAAATTATTTAACCATATCTTTTTTCCTTTTGGAATTTGAGGATTCTAAATAATTCCAAATCGGCCGTAGGCTGTCTCCATCGGATGCAGATTTTCGTGCTGAATTTTTTGATATATTATACGTTTTTTTCCGACATCGTATGCAAAAGTTATAGCCGTTTTATATTTTCCCATCGGATGCGAAAATTGCCCTATAGTGCCGGTTTGTGGCACGAACCGGCACTATAGGTCAGACCCCTTTAGTACCGGTTCGTGGCACGAACCGGTACTAAAGGTTAGACCTTTAGTACCGGTTCGTGCCACGAACCGGTACTAAAGGTGATCGTGGGGCCCCGGCCTGACGCCAGCCTGCCACCACCCCTTTAGTACCGGTTCGTGCCACGAACCGGTACTAAAGGTTCAACACGAACCGGCATTAATGCAAATCCATTCGAACCGGCACTAATGTATACATTAGTGCCGGCTCTAATACAAACCGGCACTAATGTGCTGCACGTTTGACCCTTTTTCTACTAGTGACAATGCTCTGTTTTCTCTGGCCGGCGAGGGGAGGGCATTTGGGTGCTCTAGCTCACCTCCTATGCACATGAGCTGTTCGATGAAATGTCCGAGCCACACTAGTTAATCTTTCTCCTCTCAAAACTCGACCTCCGAGCTCCATTTTCCCCGAGATTTGTCTAGGCTTAGCGGTCCGTCACGTCCCGTCGCCGTCTTCACCGCTGTCGATCGCCCGCGCCGATCTCGTCGCCGGCACCACCGTGGTGACCCACTTGTTCTTATCTTCTTTTTGAAAGAAAAAAATTCTTACTTCAGATAGATACTCGTCTAATTTTCTTACTTTTATTATTCCTTGTTATTATATAGTTCGATGGTTTTGGTTAATTTATATATTATCTTTTGACAACTATTTGGTTAATTTATTCTTTATGACAATTATGGCGACCAACGTGACATAGATTTTATTTATCTAGGAGGTGGTTGGACCGGAAATTCAACCGACCCTATTGTCGAGAGGTTAAATTTAGTTGAAGAAGAAAACAATTACTTGAAGGAAAAAATAAGAAAATTTGAGGAGGAGAAGATGATATTGGAGTTGCATGTTGCGGATGTCGTTGATGATCACAAGATCAAGATGGATGCAATGCGGTTGAAGAATAGAAAGATTAGAAAATATGCATTCATACCGTGGCTTGGTATCATTATGCAGTTGGATCAGTTGTTACCTTAGTTGGGATTATGATCGCATTTGTTTTTGCATTGAAATGTTTTACATAATTTCAATGTATGGTTTAATTAGATGCTGTGGAGAGCTATATGTTGTTCAATGAGAACTAAGTATGTACTTTGGTTTTAATGTGATGATGAACTTCTATTAATTTGGTCACTTATCTATTTATGGGAGGGTTGAAAATTGATGATGTAGCTTTGAATGGTGCATTTTGAACACAGAAAAACTATGGAGTTCAAATAAGTTCAAAAAAAATGAAATCCCTTTGTAACAGACGAGTTTCGTGATGAAACCCTGATACTTCGAAAGAGATTGTCCGTTTTGTACACGAAGTGCATCCAGTTTTTGCCGTAACCCTCTCTACTTTTTGCACATGCTATGTGGGTGAAATGACGATACCATGCCAACTTTCAACCTTTTCAGAGTTCATTTCAAATGCTTTTCAATTTCATGATCTTATAGTTCAAAATAATCAGTAAATGCATGAAAAATAACAAATAAAGTCAGAAAGG